CTTCTGTGGTAACTGACCACAGATTAAAATTGAATCATAATTTTAAATGGAACAATGTTGAGATTTTGGATATAGAACCTTCTTACAGAAAAAGATTAATATCTGAGATGGTTCACATTAAAAAACAGACACATGGCATAAATAAACAAAATGACACCGAGTCATTGCCCGAGATATACACCAATATGATACATTCCCTTTCCTTTTCTTAAATGTTCCTTCCTTGTTGTTTTCTCCTTTCCTTCGCTTGTGACTTTCAACTACATTACCTTTTTTGACATCATAGTGATAAGATACCGCAAAATGACTTACAGTTTTCAAATATATTTTATATTAATTGACTTCGATGAATTTTAATTATGGACTTGTTGCTTCTTTTTTATTTTTGATAAGGTAATAGAGTTTTTGTTTTTATTAATTAATTTTTATTGCTGTTAGTTTCATTAATTTATATAATTTCTATTAGGATCAATTTATACTTATTTCAACATATGATTCATTCTATACCGACTTATATGAAGATTAATATTTAAGGTAATTGTTTTTTTAGTATTAATTTTTTGGTTATAATTTTATTAATTCGTAAATAATTTTTATTAGGATCAATTTTTAATGGAAGAAGAATGGGTTCATTTTTTATGTTAACTTTATTAATTGTAACATTGATAATGACCCGATCGGTGTCGAAACGTCTGTCTTTTTGTAATTATTAAAGCGTTTTATTAAATTTTATATATTTAATATTTTTCGATAGATTTATTTGGCTCTTTGCCCTTCTTAGTTTTGTATTAAATTATTTTATTTTGAATTTTAGAATTTTAAAGCCAGAATCGAATTCAGCGACCTTTATAAAAAGGTTTTCTTTAAATTTATTTGTTAAAAAGCTTCCGTCTTGAAAGGATTAATTCTAAAATATTTTAAAATTCTATGTGATGTCTTAAAGTCCTTTACTTAACTGTGTATAAGACCTAGAGAATATGATTTTTCTCCCTTTCTGTTTCTCTTAAGAAAATAATATTATCATTACTGACTGATAGATGTTTTAAAAATCAAAACATTATGAAGGAAAGAAGAATTTGCAAGGAGAACTCGAAATTTGTTAACACAAATGAAATAAGTAAGAACAATTTATCAAAAATAAATTAGTTTTTTGCACATTTATGCAACTTATTGTTAGTAGTATAAGAAATATTTTTTTAAACGTCATATTTAATATTTTATAAAACAGATTCTACGTTTATATTTTCATTAATTTTGTCTTTCTCTTTTTTAATTTTGCAGAACATGTCATCCTTACGAACGCAGTCGACCGGCGGCGGCGGTGTTCTCGGTTTGAGTAGCGTCGGTTCCGATCGTACAGGCGCGGCTTCGACCGCCGTCGGTTCCCATTCGCATTCCCATTCGCACAGGAAGCATCATCATCACCACAGGAGCAGAAGCGCGCCCCGAGCACCGGAGAAACCGCCCAGAAAGCGTCACCTAAATCCCGGACAGAGTCTCGCCTCTATTCCCAGTCAGATCAAGTTGTCTATGCTGAACAGCGGCCTCATCTCCTTCGGTGAGACAACTCGCGATCCCGTTTTCCTTAATGAATTACCTAACTGTCGTCTTCATCAGATTAATGCCGCAGATAATACTGACGTTTAAAAATCGTCTTACAGGCATTTAAAGAGATGCGTCTTGATTTTTCTAATTATTTTTTAGTGCTATACTAACGAATTATACAAGAAACGGATTTTGCTAAAGTATTTAAGAATTTAACTAGATACAGATTTGAAAATAATTTTGTTGTGCTATTAAAATAATTATGCAGAGCGTTCAAAACTTGTTGCTAAAATGTCAAACTTTTTGGAGCATTGCTTGAGATTCCTAGTGATCCAACAAAATTATTTTCGAATGTGTATCTAATTAAATTTTTACATACTCAATAAATTCGTTTTTTTTTATGTATGCAACAAAACTTGCACAGCGTTCAAGCTGAAGCTTGGTTAGAAAATAATCGATGTAATTCTAATTGCAATGTTATCCTACAATCGTTTGAAAAATAAAAAACTTAAATCCGATTTGCGAAGTCGAATAATATCCGTATTAACCGTAATAAATTATTGACATAACCGAGACGCGTATTGATTACATGTGCTTTATATATTTTTCATATCGACATGTTAGATTCATATTTACGCTTTCAGCTGTGATCGTCACAAATACAATAAAACTACAAACAAAATGAATATTTCATCGCAATCAAACGAAATATATTATCTTTGTAAATATGAGATACCATCGTACACTGAAATTCTGTGAGTTTCCGCATCAGTATCGTAAATGCAATTTCTAAGAAAATAAATTTTATGCATTCAGGTCACGGAATTTGAAGACTTCACTTAACGACTGCGCAATTGACACTTGGTAAAGAACATCAAGCGCATAATTCGATGAATCTGAACGCTTTCTCAAGGCCTTTTGAAGCATATTAGAAGCTTTTAGCGTCAAGTTGACTGTCTTTTCATCTTGATATCATTTTATAAAACTTTTCTTTCTTCACATCTCAAAAGAGGTGCTGCTAAAAGAAAGTTCAATTTCTTTTCTTTCACATTTCTGATTAATTTTAGGTCATGGCGAGAGATAAACGATTAATGCCCTTATTACTTAAGATATACGATTTATTTTTTAATTACCTTTTGTTTTTTTTCCTCTAATACAAGCCAAAAAACCGAAGCTTCTAATGGCACGTTTCCGTAGTCTTTTAATTGTACGAACACTCAAGATTCTTGAGAAGAAACGCAAAGAGTGTTCTAAATATTCTCGAAACTCTTGAGACCTTTGAAATCGCACTAAGATTTAAGGTAGTTTTTAAGAGGTTGAAAAGACGTTCTCTGAAAATTCTCATAAGTCTGGGAGAGTTGTAATGCATTTTGCGACACGCCCGAGATTATCTTAAATATACAAGCTCGCATTTAAATTTCGGATTGCTTGAGGATGCTTTAAAAATGTTTAGGAATATTTTCCTAGAAGAGAGAAAGAGAAATAAGATTATGGTGATGATATTTTAAGAAAATTCTCTTTTACATTATACTAACATCTCGCTGGATTTTAGAACACACTTCACTATTCTCACGAGCGATGAATTACGGTACTGATTTAAATTAATCTACCGTTAAAACAAATCAATACATAAAAATCGGTAATTCTAATTCTCGCATACCGCTTCCTGATCTATATCCGTAATGAAAATTAGAGATATCAATAATCCCGAATTCCGTAGCAAATATGGAAACAATAATATCCTGATAAATAATAAATTATGTCATAGTTTGTTCTCTTTATTCCTTATATAATTATAAAAGAACTGATTCTTTGTGTTATACTTTATTTTCAGATTGATAGAATATCCTGAAAGTTACGTGTCAATGTCGTTGAAATGCAATGTGTGCTAAAACCAAGTAATTTATTTATCTGGTTTATATTAATAATTTGTTCTCTCTATTCTTTATAATTATGAAAGAATTTGTGCTGTAATTTATTTTCAGATTAACTGATACATTTATTATTTATAGGAGATATTGTTTTAAATGTATATACAGACAAATTGGAATATGTTAGAATAACTTCTCTTGCAGCATCCTTTCGTACAGTGGATTATAAAATCTCACATTTTGAATCTTCCTGATTTAACACAATTATTTGATTGGAGGCTTGGTATCTTTTTGTTATTGGTTTCTCTTCAATTTCTTCAATATTGTTTCAGATAAGTTTTACAGTCTCTATTAATTTGTTCTCTCTATCTTTATAATTATAAAAGAATTGATTCTTTGTGCTTTATTTTTAGATTTATGGAAAGGAAATACCTCAAAAGAAATGGCAAGAGTTGAAATCCTAAAAGTTACGTATCAATGTTTTTAAAATGCTATGTGTACTAAAACCAAGTAATTTTATCTCGCTGTATTTACTTTGTGAGTTGTTTTTTATTTATCTGTTAGTTTTTTCCCTATTTTCCATTAATAATTTGTTCTCTCTATTCTATATAATTATGAAAGAAGTTATTTTTTATGTTGTACTTTTCAGATTTACTATTTAATATCCTGAAAGTAATGTATCGTTTTAAAAGGCAATGTACTAATAATTTATTATTTATTAGGTCTCTATTTTATTTTATACTTTTACAAGAATATCCTGATAAATAATAAATTATTTCATAGGATAATATTGAAATAACTACCAGACAAATAAATAATAGTAAAGTAAAAGGCAACTTACACAGTAAACACAGTGAGAAAATCAAGATTACGTCAAATATAAAATTACTTGGTTTTAGTACACATTGCCTTTTAACGACAATGACAAATAACTTACAGAATATTTTAGTAGAAGGTTTATACAGTATAAAAAATAGAGAGAACAAATTAATAGAGATTCTAAAATTATCTGATACAATATTGAAGAGATTTTTAATAATTCCAATCGTATCAGATATGTTTAGAATCTCTACTAATTTCTCTCTATTCTATTAAGTTCTCTCTATTCTTTATATAATTATATAATTATAAAAGAGAACTGATTTTGTTTTCAGATTGAAAGGAAAGGCTTGTTATTATTTTTATTTATCTGGTAGTTATGTACGCAATGTAGTAGAAAGTGAATTTTGAATCTTCCTGATTTAATATCTGTCTGGTATAGTTACCTTAATTTGTTCTCTCTATTCTTTAAAGAATTATAAAAGAATTGATTCTTTGTGATTTGTTGAAAGGAAAAGCCTGAAAAGAAAAAAGCCAAGGATTTAAAAGATATATTCCGATCTGCCTATATATCTTTTAAATCTTTGCCTTTTCTTTTCAGGACTTTCTGAAAATAAAGTACAGCATAAAGAATCAATTCTTTTATAATTATAAAGAATAGAGAGGATCTGATTGATACGGTTACTTGAAATGATACTGTTACTTTAAATGTAAAATTACTTGGTTTTAGTATTTGAAATTATCGTGGAAAGTACTGATGTATTATTGAAGGTGCCAGTTAAAAGTAAATATTCATAAAATATATATCCTTTAGTTGCATATACGTAATAATGTTTAACAACACATGCACACTAGTTGTTTATAACAGTGTGCATGTGATGTTACATCATTATTACGTATATAAATTTATGCACTTAAATTTCTCTGTATCTAAGGCAGATGCGGGAAAATAGTTCAGACAAAAGTTGCTCGAGATGATGGGGGTCACCTGACTGTGTAATTAGTTTTGACCTTGAGAGGTTACTTTTCAAGGTTATTTGAAGGTCAGAGTGTTTTTTTTTAATGGTAACCCTTATTTTTTACCCCGTATTCGAAAAGAGCAGAAAATTTTACGTCTGAAATGATATCTCAATGTTTATTTTCGTGACCTTGAAGAGGCAAATTTAGGGTCAAATGCTACAGAACTGCTTGATAGTTGTTCAATTAAATTTTCTAGTGGAATAAACGTTGTAAAGCTTTCTTTCTAAGAAAGATCGAATTCTAAAGCGACAACAACCTCAATAATTGACCTTGAGTTGACCTTGAGGTCACTTTTCAAGGTCATTTGAAGGACGGAGTGGCTTTTTAACGGGAAACTTTTCTTTAATACCGAAGCAAGAAAATCCAAACAATTTAAAGTCGGAATGTGACAACGACCTTAGGTTAGTGTTTCTTATTCCACAAGTTCTTAGCAGCTATTGCTTTAAATGAATTAACCTTACTCTTGGCACTACCCGGAAACAACGACGTCGACGTAATAAGTTCTGTTTCCTTTGGGGTGCTTGATTCATATGAGTCCCCTTGCCTCTCACTAATCGGGGTGATTGTTTCCGGGTAGCCAAGAGTAAGGTTAATTCATTTAAAGCAATAGCTGCTAAGAGCTTGTGGAATAAGAAACACTAACCTAAGGTCGTTGTCACATTCCGACTTTAAATTGTTTGGATTTTCTTGCTTCGGTATTAAAGAAAAGTTTCCCGTTAAAAAGCCACTCCGTCCTTCAAATGACCTTGAAAAGTGACCTCAAGGTCAACTCAAGGTCAATTATTGAGGTTGTTGTCGCTTTAGAATTCGATCTTTCTTAGAAAGAAAGCTTTACAACGTTTATTCCACTAGAAAATTTAATTGAACAACTATCAAGCAGTTCTGTAGCATTTGACCCTAAATTTGCCTCTTCAAGGTCACGAAAGTAAACATTGAGATATTATTTCAGACGTAAAATTTTCTGCTCTTTTCGAATACGGGGTAAAAAATAAGGGTTCCCATTAAGAAAAAACACTCTGACCTTCAAATAACCTTGAAAAGTAGTCTCAAGGTCAAAACTAATTACACAGTCAGGTGACCCCCATCATCTCGAGCAACTTTTGTCTGAACTATTTTCCCGCATCTGCCTTAGGTATAGAGAAATTTAAGTGCATAGATTAAAATGGCCCACCCTGTATGTATGCAATAAAAGAATACTCTAGTTGTAATGTGCATGTGTGATGTTACATCATTATGTATTTCACTATCTTGTCATATAATGATATATGGATTTTTCCCATAAAATGTACTTTATAACATGTATCATTTGTATTTGTATATATAAACTTAACTTTTTAAAAAAAGGTAGAAAGAAGCGCTAAGAGTGGGTACTGCTGGTCAAAAAACCATTTA